AGCATGAAGCTCATGCGTGTTTGCACAACAACCAGTGCAATCAGTGGGCTAATGTGGCCTACAAACAGTACCAAAATAAAACTAACCTGTAAAAACTCCAATATCCCATGCTGTATATATTAAGTCTCATTTCCTTTGTTTGGTTTACTCTAGCTAAGCAAACGAGGTCAGAATACTAGACTGATTAGCGGCTTTAAAGGTAAGACCTGCCTTAGTTTTGCTGTGCTTTTGTAAAACTACAGTTTCACGCCCCACTTCTGCAAATGATTATGCATACATTTAGCCTCATGCGCTAATAGTCTTACTGAGTTTAACAGCTCATTTGTCGAAAACTATGCACACACACAGACTTGGCCTTCGAATACAAATGGAGCTTTTTCAGACTATATCTTTTCAGGATAAGAACTAACAAACAGGCCATAGTGACAAATGCAGTTGTGTCGACATAAACAGGAATTTTCATTTCATCTACATGCACGCTAAGTCTTTATTTGCATTTGTACAGCATCTGCTACAACAGAACTTTAGTCAGGATTGTCACCTCTCCTCATCGAAGGACGTACAAATAATTAACACAGTAATCAACTATCACGGTTATCTAGTATACAGAATATGAAGCAGGGCACTGGGATGTGCCTGACCCTTTAGGAGAGCAAGCAGCCTGAGAGGCTGCTTTTAGGGGGCAGGGGGGAGCTAATGAGGGACTCACCTGGCTGGAAGAGGGCTCAGGCTGGAGCTACATGAGCCCAGAGTCTGCACCAGTCTGTTCGTTTCTCCCCAGCTACTGCACAGTGCACAACTCCTGGCTCCAGGGTCCCTGAAGGGAACTGGATTTTGGCTGAACAACTCTACAGGTCTGGAAACAGAGGCAAGTTCCTTGGACTGAGGAAGACTGGGTTTACAGGCAAGTGGTCTTTATGTTACACCTCTGAAGACTGAGGTGTCTGCAAGACGGTGGTGATTTTTCTTATTTATTTATGTTTAGCCTTGAACCCTGGGGGTGCAGACTCAAGGCTTGCTTAGAGAGCCAGGATCCCAGGAGCCCTCACACTGAGGGTGGGACCCAGGGAGGGGTCCCAGAACTGAAAAAAGGCTGAGACCCAGATCACGAGCTCCAAGAGGCCCAGAGCCACCTGTGTCCAGGGCTGGGCAGGGGAGGGGTCTGGGAGCTCAAGGGGCCAGAGTGTAAAGAAGGAAAATCAAAGGGAGAACATCTCTGAGGCTTAGGGCGTGGAGTAGGGGAGGAAAAGGAACCACACCATTTGCCCTTAAGGCTAGGTCCCTGTAGGGCACCTGTAGTCAGGCCGAGAGGAACCTACCAAGGTTGGATGTCTGGATAGAGGCCAACGGGGCCTCAGACCCAGTGGAAACTTACTGGATTGGGGCTCACTCTAAGGCCTGCTAGCAGCCTCCTTGAATCAACCTGTAATATTAAGAGCAAGGCACGGCTGGTGAACAATGAAGAGAGAGTGACATCAGAGCTGGAGCCAGGCAGGAGCAGCAAGGCCGCTAGGGGTGTCATGGCAGGCCCTGTGGCTGTGAGCCTGTCACAGAGTACTTCTATTTTTTCCTTTGAAAGGAAAATATAAAGTAGTGATAAAATTATGATCGCATAATCTGTGATTCCATGACGTGTTTATTTAAAATTGGTTTAATGAACCACCGATAGTACAGTGCAGCCCCAACATTTTCACACGGCAGGCCAGACTGTCAGTGGCCAGTACATTCATGGGCTGGATCCAGGTGTTCCTGCTCTGGCACGTGAGTGGGCACCATCTGGCCAGGGTGGGGGACAAACTGGCTTCAACACAGCCCTGACGGGGAAAGGAGCTTGACCCATCCTTGTGAAGAGGGAAAGAAGGCTAGCCAGGTGACCCTGTAGGGAGGGAAAGGGTGCATGGCCTGGCCCAACCCGGCCCTGCAGGGAAGGAAGGGGACACGGTCCAACCCTGATCCCGAAGTGGGGGAACGTGGCCCAGGCCCACGGGGGAAAGAGGCATAGCTGGGCTCAGACCAGCCATGCAGGTATCGGGGCTTGGGGATTTGGCAGGGGAAAGTGGCGGGGAGGCTGTGTTCATGGCCACCACTCGCTTGCTGCCAATTCCCCAGACCCATGGGGAGCCCCACAAGCCAGATGTGATGGCTCCATGGGGCTGCATTTGGCCCAGGGGATGGAAATTGAGCAACCCTTGTCTAGTAGATGCATAATAC